TGAGGCAGGAGGATCCCGAATTCCAGGCCAGCCCGGGGAACTTAATGAGACCCTATCTAAAATTAAAGTTTTAAAACAAACTGGGGATAGGTCAGCTTGAGCACGCTAGTTTGGCATGGGCAAGGCCCTGGATTCAATCCCCAGAAAAAAAGCAATACAAAGAAAGATGTAAGGAACAAGCTTTTTAAAAAATGCATCTGTACTTAACATGTATAGACTTTTTCTTATTACTTTCTAAACGGTGAAATGTAACAACTATTAACATAACATTTACATTGTGTTAGGTATTGTAAATAATCTAAAGATGATTTGACATATATAGGAGGATGTGTGGAGGTTATATGCAAATATACACTGTTTTATATAAAGGACATGAGCAACTACAGATCTTTGTGTCTGCAGGGGTTCTGGAACCAATCCAAATCCCTTGGAGATATCTAGAAATGGCTGTATTCTTTTAAATTCTTTCCAATTTTATAGATATATTTGAATATGTACAGAAGACAGGAGATATCTTGAAAAATTATAGACGAAAATTACATTTGAAAAGTTAGCTTTTACCGGGCGTGGTGGCTCATGCTTGTAATCCCAGCACTCGGGAGGCTGAGGTGGGAGGATCACTGTGAGTTTGAAACACAAAGTGAGCTCAAGGCCAGCCTGAGCTGCATAGCGAGACCCTGTCTCAAAAAAGACAAAAAAAACATGAAAAGTTGGCTTTTATAATAAAACCATTGACTAACAAATCAGAAAAAAATTGAGAAGTTGTCCAGTGCCCTTTTGCTAATTACATGGCATTAGAAACATCCTAAAGATGGATAAATGCCATTTGCTTTCCTTTGGCTGAAGCCCCTAAGTTCCTAGCAATGTAAGGTAACAGCCTGAGGCCTCTGTCCAAATCCTAGATCAACTTGACTCCCGCTCTCTCTCTGAGCTACCTGAGTAAAGCAGCTTTCTTCTCTGTGTTTCTCCAGGGAAGAATGATGGCAATCCTCCTTTCCAGTTAATTCTTCCCAAGCTTGTTGGAAAGAGCCATTAATTTATGTTTTGTTCTTTATGCCTGTGAGATCTTGGGATGAAATACTCTCTCTAAGCCACAAAGCCTAGTACTATTTTAAGTACTTGCATCTTCCCGGAGAAGGAACACGCTGGCTTCCTGCAGGAGAAATAAATGGGGTCAGTTTTCAGGCTGGCACACTGTCTTTAGTAAAAAATAAAGACAGACATGGGTCGTCTTGTTCTGTCTGCTGTAGAAAACATGTCCATATCTAGCAAATCAAAGTACACGTTTCAAACCAGCTACTTGCTCCACACTCTGTGCTGCACAAATCATGGGGTTTGTTTGTTTGTTTGGTGCAAAAAGAACTCGAAACACACATACACAAAAGAAAGTCTACTAGGGTGATGATAAAATGCACTTTCTAAGAAGTGTGTGGGAAGAAACTTCTTCTTTTAAGATCTTGTTTCACGGTTCTGAGAAAATGACTTTTGCAATCCACATTTTAAATCATATGTGCAGTTTTGGGAGCACCTGGTACTTGTGAACAAAACAGCAGGCAAAAATATTTTGTTCTATCTTCCCATTGTAGTCTCTCTTCAAGAAATTTTTTTTGTCCCTTTCTTTGTGTTCTTGTCAAGATTGACAAGCATCCGTGTGGCACCGAGTGACATGAAGTTCTTGCTTGAATAATCATGACTGAAATCCAGGATATTTCAAAGCATGTTATTGACTCAGAGAACCACCCACCAGATTGAATTATTCTGAATTAACATTGATGGACAGCGTCAGTGAAGTAGTGCTTTTACTCCAAATGGTCAGGTCTGCCCATGTCCCTCCAGGGCTCATATGCTCATCCCAGGGATGTTATGATACCATTTGTGTAGCTAGAAAGGGTTATCTTATTAATGTCACAGAAAACCACGTTTAGAAAGTGAACTCTGAACCAAATAAACAGACAGCAAGAAAACCGCACTTTTTGTTTGCAGAGGTGAGTGGCACCATCTTGTTCGTCTTTCTTTCTTTCTTTTTTTCTTTTTTTTTGGCTTTTTCATTTTTATTGGTACCAGGGATTGAACTCACGACTGCCTGCTTGCAAGGCAGGCGCTTATGCTGCTGAGCTAAATCCCCAGCCCCTTGTCTTTCTTTAGCATGGACATCAAACAATGGCATCACCGACAAAAAAGTAGAGGAATTATTGGACGCTTTATCCAAAGGATTATTACTGACACAAAGTACTTTGGTACTCCTGTTTTACCCTCAGAATGTTTTGAGCTCTTGGAGAAACATGTTGTGATCTGTGATGGAAATCGTTGTGTGGATCATTACACTGGAATAAACTCTCCCCATTCTAACGGATGGTTCCAGAAATTCTACAAAAGGCTTTAGAAATGGCATTCTATTGGGAAGGAGAAGGGGGCAGAGGACTTACCTTCACACCCAGCCACTGTTTTGTTATTAGATATTCTATTTTGAAAAGACTGGCTTGCTTATTCATCTCTTACCCATAACAACTGTATTCTCGGTGATACTCTCCACTGATTCTTTTGGGCACATTTTCTTACAACTTGAATTTTTAAAAAGGAATGCAGGTGATATAAATTTTGCTGCTGACAAGGTCGAGCAGGTGCAATTCCATCTTCAAAATAGGCACAACTATCTATTTAACCACTCAACAACTTATCATGGAATGTATCAAACTAAAAACTGCAAGAATATTGATCTGATTAGTGAGTTATAATGATTTTCAGAAATACTTGTTTTCCAAAAGAAAAGTCATAATGCTTTTCACAGCAATTCTGCCAATATTTTCCTGAAGGATTGTTATGTTATTAACAGAATATGAAACAAAGCTTTCCTCCACAACTTTTAAGAGCTGTTTTCAACTGCCTCCTTTGTGCAGTAGGCAGCATGTCAGTCTCATAATCTGAATGTCATAGGACCTGTCTTCTAAACAGCTTGTAAGAAAGTGTTAGAATGATTAATGAACAATTTACCAATTACCTTGAACTTTTTAAATGACACTAACATTATAATATGCATTCCCGTAACATCCAAATATGTGTGTTTTATTTACCAATACATGGATATCTGGGTTCTAAGATTTCCCCTGCGACTCTTTTTGTACAATGCCTTATATGGATCAAGAATTCCAAATGCTTTGTTACCCAAACAAATGTTTCATGCAACACTGCTCCTCGTCCTGTCTCTGTACGGCTTGCTTTCCCATTAGACTGTGCAAAACTGCCGACTGAGACTTTCCTCTTAATCAGTAACTCAAATTATTTTCCCCCTCCAACATTTGCATGTTTTCTACTTTACCCACTGCCCTGCTCTGTGTGTGTGCGCAGGCTTCGCCTTTGTTGAGATTTTGGATGTGTTACAATCTTGTATAGATACAGTCTCGGTCGGCTTCAGGAGCAGCTATCTGATTATGCTAGGAAGTGGGATCTGAAATTGTCATCTTTTCATCACTTTCCCCTATTCCCTTAGGGGAAGAAGTGGTGATTTCTCTGGACCAATATCTTCAAAATTTGTTTCAGTGATACTCCGGCTTTATTTGGCTCTCCTCATTTCTAGTCACCTCTGTGGTTACCATGAGATTCTGCTGCATACATTTAATCACTCTCTTAATAAAGCCTACAAAGAATTTTACCTCACCAAGTTTTGAATTGTAAGAAGTCTCAAACCTCATGTTGTTGATTTTTAAAGGTGATCTCTGTCTGGTAAGCACAAGGTCCCGAGTTCAACTCCTGGTACCAAAAAATATATGTAAATAAAATAAATAAATATAAAGGTGATTTCTTTTAACAAGCTTTCTAGTCTTAAAATTCTGAACTTTTTAAAAACTCACTTTCGTTTTAGAAAAACAATCTCCCCTATTATTTACTCATGAGTCCTTGAATTTTATATTTTTTCCTGCTTTATAAATCATTACTATGTTATTCTTATTCCTAATGTCTGCTTCATGTTGTAAATTTTGAAAGTATAGAATGTTAGTGTAGGTGTTAGTCTGCACAGCACTGAGCACAATGCCATGATCACATCGATGCTTTTTTGATGATGATGATGAAGATGGTAATGATAACGTTATGCTGTTCCACATAGTTAGTCCAGTATATCTTTCTTTAAAGTATAAGTTATCATCCTTTAAAGTAGTCATTCTTCATTACAAAAAAGTGGTAGTAACTTCTAATTAGTGGTTAGTGCCCTATCAAATAATTAAGTATAAATAAAATGTCCTCAATGAATGTAATGTTAACACGGTGTAATTAAAGCCAAGTCTTGAAATGCATTAGGTATCTACTAGATCAGATATATTCGGGTTTTTTCTCTCCACAGGTGAAATTCTCAAATTATGCTTGTAGCAATGTCATCATCAAAGACTAAAAACCCATCATCCGGATGTAAAACATTTCTGACAGTGCACAAGAGCAGAATTCAGAAATCAAACAAAAAATCTTTAAAACTCACTTTTAAATCCCCGTTATAATGGAATTGAGTCCTGAAGATACTATGTGACTTGCCCAAGGTCACACTTTGGTAAGCTGATTTTTCCTCAGTAGTGAGAACTGAGGTTTGGAGTCTTACTGACATGATTTTTTTATACTGTTATTATTCTTTTTGAAATATGTTCACTAGAAAAATATTTATTTGGTTCTTTTGTTGATGGGGTAAGAAAATTCATGCAAAATGAAATATAACTTGTGCATAGTTCCTACGGTATTTAAGTCATCTTATGATGCAGGGCTTGTCATAGTGTCTATTTTAAAGCTCAAATACAGAGACAAGACTGAAATCTCACCACTGTCTCATCAGGATAACTGCAACCTGCCCAGATCCTTGGCCATTCCTAACCCTGCATTCTTTAAGGAGCATCGCAGGCCTTCTCTTGTGCATGCTGCATTATCCTTTTGTCCACAAAGATTTTGAAATATCAGTAAAGTACAAGTAGCCCCTGAAATAAAGGCATCATTCAAAGAACAAAGAAGTAGGAGGGATCCAATTAAAATGGTGAAAATCTTTCGTTTTTATTTAGGTATACTTGTACGGACACGTGTATATACAAATACAGATTGTATGAGTTTGCGTGTGGGTTTTTTTCTTTCTTTTTTTACATTTTCTGTTACGTTTATATAATGTCAGCATTTCAAAACAGCACTCGATGAGTAAGTGCGAAGGAACTGCACAGCAGGGCAGTACAAGCACAGGACCACATGGAGCTGGACTCCACACCAGACACACACACAGTGAGTGGCTTCAATGAGGTGTCAAGAGTAAGCATGGAAAGCGGATTTGACTCATGGGTAACCTCCAGCATGCCAGCATCTATTAAACTGTACAGACAATGGGAGCAAGCCCATTGTAGGGAGATTTGTCTCACACCCGAGCAGCTCTGGGGCAAACGCATGGGAAAAGCTCAGTGATGCCAAACCAGAGACAGACCTGCCCATTCACGGCTCTGAGAGAAAAGGAAACGTGAGAAGGAGGCGAGAGACAAAAAGACCAAAATAAACATAAAAAGTCAAGGGGGAGTGGGCAAATGGGAGCAGGGGTGTTTTCAAAAGAAAAGCCAGTGACCACAACTTGGAGAGCAATGAATGGAAGGAAAAACTTAAAACTTTTTTCCCCTAATTTTTTTAAAGACAAATAAAATGGTTGCAGCCGTTGCTAAGGCACCGGAGAAAAACAGAGTCCCTGAAAATCCACAGGTACTGCGTGACTCTTCCCTTCACAACGACACAGGATGGGGACAGGCCCCCGTTTAACCTTCCTAAGCGATCGATGTGCAGCCATTACTGTGCCTGGGCTGCACTGCGTACTGAAGAGACTTACTGGATGGGGAAAATAAAACAGTCCATGAAACAACCACAAACAGAAAAGCAACCAAAGTACAGAACCGTTACTACATTCTCTAAACCTTGTTTTCACACCACATGCGTAAGGTAAGGAAGGATCACAGGGCTCCAACATTGGACCTTGAGAACATTGAGGACACAATATTGATCAAAAAAGTCGTGTTGTTCCAGGTCGCAAGATGATGGAGTCTTAGGATTGGGTGGGCGATGACCACGCATGAGTCCCGTATGGAGCAGTGTCTTAGCCATTTGTGACTTTTCTCAGTCATGGACACATTGGATGTTTCAAAGCCTCAATGCATGTTTTGTATCCTGAAAGTCTATTGTTCTCACTTACAAAAGACATAAGAATCAAATTAATACTTTATTATCAAACACTATATACAACAGAGGTTGCTAATAATACAGAATTTAAAGAACGCAGGTTTTTTTTTTTTAATGTTTACTTTTCTTTCCTCTGCCACCCAAGAAGTACAGTACAAAACAATAGTCTAAACTAACACGAACTGTTACCTGGTCTATTAAAGGATACACGGTATCCACTAAACAGACAGATCCTTATTTCCCTGCTTGGTGTAGCAAAGCCCTAGGCAACCAGGGGCAAAGGTCACTGGGGTTTGACCAGCTGAGGCGGAGGGCCAGCAATGGCAGCCCTTTAAGCTTTACAATTGCTTTTTAAACTACAAGCTGCTACAAAGTTGCATCGACATCCTCCTATTCCCCCAGAGGATTGAAACACCACCACAAAAGGCCACCAGCACTTTTTTGGACAAGATGAAAACTGCCTGGCATCAATCATCTTCTTGAAAACTTCAAGGCAAGAGCATTAGCTATGACTACGTCACTTACAGGTAGAGAAGCATACTGTCTACTGGATAGTCTTGCTAATTTTTGTTTGTTTGTTTTACTTCATTTGTGGTGGAACAATGGTGAAATAAAAGGGTCTAATTTCCCCATGAAAAATGAAAGACAATGGCAAAGAGGGCCATGAGTAATTATTTTATCATTTGTTAGAGACAAATGCTAGAAAAACCACAGAAGTCACCATTTCTAAAATGAAATTAGCACTGCTAATGTAGTTATGACTAACTGCAATCATTAAAGGATCATTTGATTTCCTTGGTTATAGAACATGCAGTATTATTTGTTTCTGACTATTGATCCATTTTAGAAGGTATCTTTTTTTCCCCCTACTCAAATCCTACTGGACCAACAAGCTTGTAACTAGTAATAAAAACAAGAGTATTTCTGCATATAACAGGGCGTAGTGAGCATTTAAATAGTGAAAGGGAAAAGGAATCGGATGCTGTGATCGGTTGTTTCAATGAAATGCTGGGTGCCTTCTGTGAAAGACTCTGCCACTCCAGAAAAGCTTCTGACATCAGGGGAAAAGGGTTGTTTATATCTGTGAGGCTGGCAACCCCACTCTCATGGTTCCATGTGAGAACAGACTCAGTAGTAACATCTACTCCAAACAGATCAGGTAAGCCCAGATTACATTTCAACATGTGTACAACTCTCTAGGGTGCAGTACATTTACAGCTGCCTTTCACTCACATATTTTTCTAATTCAAAACTACTCACAATTCTAAGCAACTTTCCATTCATGAAGTCTGTTCATAATATGACCCCCCCTTTTTTTACATATACATCTTAAAAAACGAATATATAAAAAAATTCTTATTTCGCTGGAATGCTTTCAACTTTTTCACATTTTACATGATCATTGCATTTATTGATTTACTTACTTTGAAAGGCATTGTTCCTATTGACATGTCGTGCAATAGCAAAAAAGGCTAGATCGCTTTTCCATTGGTCTGACACTTTTCCCTGCCTCGGCTTTGGAGTTTAAAGTTCATGAGAGCCCCACTAGTAGAAACCCCAAGGCTTGCATTTCCTGGTAATCAACTGGAAATGTCCCCTGATGGCCGTGCTAAAATTCCTTAAACAGGGCCATCCTATGTTTATTCTCCTTCTGCCCCACCCCACATGAAACGATAGCCCCCCTGTATTTCTAAATGTATCAAGGGATACCACTTTTTCTCACATGTTTAAATAGGACAAGCATATATACTCACTCTCAGCATAAAGTATATCTAAATAATGTATTTTCTATTCTAGTGGATTTTTAAAAAAATATTTTGTTAAAGTCTTTGGGACTCCATCTTGTTTATCTCCCACAGATAAACACATGTTCCCCCTACGCTTTAGGCTGTGTCAGAAAGGGAAAGAATATAAAATCAACACTTGAATTTTTTTTTATTCCAAACTTTGGAATTTTTATTCCAAATTTCCCTTTAGCCCTCCCAAGTAGTGCTGACTGACTCTGCTAGTGACAGGGGTTTGTATCGGAGCCCCTGTGGAGCAAAACGTGGGCATTGGGGTGGGAGTCAAAAGGCCACAGCACACTGGCGCTTCAGCAAAGCCAAGTCACATCTCCTCTGGCCACTGACTTTCTTTCCTTGGTACACATCGTCCCCCAGAGGAGCGGCCAAAGCTATTTCTCTCTACACTCATCAACCCTGGCTTGTCAGCCTTGGGGAAGGTCACTTTATTCATAAAAATGCCTCTTTGAGTTTAAAAAAAAAAAAAAAAAGGTTGTAGCACCATGGTGATCTGTATTTAAAGAAAAAAAAATCTAGTGTGCACTGTTCAGTCACAAAAAAACAAAACAAAAAACCCTAGAGGCACTCACACATACACACCCCCACAAAACATAGAAGTTTCTCTGTTTCTACACTAGCTCTGTGTTAGCATTCCTGTACCCAACCTGCCTCCTGGAGGGGGAAAAGGCTTCTTTTACAGAGCACAAGTTTTGCTGTCAAGAATGCTTTAAGACAGTCATATTAAAAAAACCCCAGTGTCTCAACCTTTTAGAAGCCTGTTCATTTATACACTCCTAGAGGAAATGGTGTAATATTATATCTATTCTTAATACCTCCCCTCTGGCCCTGACATGGTGACACGATGCCCTGCACGATCATCTTACAGTCCTGAATGAGAAGGCATAAATATTGTATAGGAGAGTGAACCCCCTGGGCCTGGCCATCACTGGATGCATCTGCCACTCTTCCTTGTCCATGTCCCGCCAACACAGTGCACCACCGGAGGTGAGCTCTTAGAGGAGAATGCACAGGAGCTGGCGAACCACTGGTGTCACGACGACAATTTGGCATTTTCATCTGGGGTCCATTTAATTTGGAGGGGGTGAGAGAAGTCGAGGGCAAGGGCTGGGAAGTGGGATGGGGTAAGGGAGGTAGCGACTAGTTTAGCCCCCCAACCCCAAGTTGTTGCTTAGAATTCAGGCCAAAGGAAAGAAAACAAAAATCTGACATCTGCCAAAACCCAATAACAAGTCCCTTCTTAGGATGAGCAGTTAGGTGGATCTCTGGTGTTCCAAGACCCTGATGTTTTCTGTGACAGGTGACGAGAGAAGACTGTGCTATAATGTCAAAAGCATCGCCAGGAGGAACAGTAGGATTGCCAAAAGGCGGCTGGGTATCCTTGGTGTTTGTGCCGCGTTCTCGCCGCGGGATGGCTCGGCTGACTCATGTACGGTGTCATCTGTTCAAACAGAAAGCACACATTCCAATGAGATTCCACATCCTTAATAACTCTCGCTCAGCAGCCTGCTGTTCACAGACCTCGCCACCCTCTGCAAAGTAGGGTAATGAACCTTGTGCCACCATTGACTTTCATGTCTGCATAATCACTCATTATTTACAGCAAACAAAAGAGAGGCAGAGAAAATTGAACTTTCGTGGCAATATCAGTACTTTCCTTTAAAACTGAGGGGGGAAACAGTGCATATGCTGTAACCTCTGCAACACGAGCTACCGTGGCTTGCTGGTGGTCAGGTACACCTTGCACAAAGATGAAACATGGAATGTGCCCGTTAAATATCTCAGACACACAAGAAGGAAAGTATGTGTTGGAGGACACAGGGAAAGGAGGCAGTTATGGCATATTAGTGGTTAACCAGAAAGGGTCACTCATTCTCCTCTTTTTAGGCATTTCATAGGATTAGAGTTGAATGCTTGGTTGTTGGGTTCCTAGGTGAATTTTCAATATGAAAAGTTAAGTGCCAAAACAGTAGTGTTTTGAATGAACTATGTATAATGCCCAGCAAACTTCAATAAATTAGGACCCACTGATGTGCCTACAATTAGAAATCAATTATGGTGCTATTTCTATTATAGGCCTTGTATCTCCAGGATTAAATTACTTGAACTTGAGTATTTTTATTTTTATCAGGCTGAAGCTTGGCACATAAATTATCAGCATGGATGCAAATTTTCCTCTAAATAAAATGGATTAAGTGAGTTAAGCTTCTTTTATTTTGCTATAAAGTGTTCTACAAGGCTGCCTCTGACTTTGGATAGCCTCCCTGATCTGCATGATTAACAGGCTTAACTTCGAAATGGGAACTTTGCAGTAATTAGTGCCCAAAGATAGATGGAGGCTTGCCCAGGATCCGTGCTATTCTCTAGTGTGGCCCATCTTCTTCCTTCCACCTGGCCTCCTCCTTTCCATTTGTGCTTCCACACCAAGTGACCCCTGAATGACATGCTCCTGAGCACGCAGTGGACCTCTGTGCAGATTTTATTCAGCATCAAGGGAACCTCTTGTAGGAGCTCAGCAATTTCCATCTGAGATTCACTCAGTGGTCAATCAGAAAGAAGGGTAAAAAAAATGAGACTTTAGTAGTTGCTGTGTTCTGTAGACCTCAAAAGATACTCCGTAAATATAACTCAGTGTTATATTGAGCCTCTCTCTGGATTAACTATCCACTATTTTAAATTCATTTCTATTTTTCATTTCTATTTTCACAGTAGTGTAGAGTCACAGGCTCTGATATTTGTCCTAAAATGACCTCTTTCTAGGCTGACTGACTGGCCCTTGCTTCAGATATGCCATGCGAAATGTTTCTGTCCTTCACGTTTATTCTCCATGCGAACTAAGAAAAATGTTTTCTCAGTATTGCATATTCTACACTGGAGATAAATAGTTTTATCATTTTTGCTTGTCCTCATGTTTCCCTCTGTGTGGTTTGCTCCCCTTTTCTGGACCTTAGCAAACCTCTACGGAGCGATTTTTAACTTAGAGTACTAGGAAAAGTTAGGAAACAAGAATTGGAACATGAGCAATGCAGAGAAAAATATATTAAGTCCTGCAAAATGTAACCAAATACTTACAGATTGTCCCCCTTTTCTTTGCTCTTTTTTAACCTTGCAAGGCTATTACTTAAATCTGTAGTTAACAGGAGCTAGAAGTAAAGACCCTGGATCGGCCCGAAATTAAAATTCAAATCACTTTCTTAAGAGCACCAAAATGATGTCGTCAAAATAATGGGGTACTTCAGGCTTAGCTGAGAAAGAACCAGAAGATTCCAGAATTCATTTTGAAACATCGCTCATACAACTGACTTTGCATCATCTTTGATTCTTGTCTACCTTATTCTTATGAATATATTCTTGTGTAGTTTGGAAGTATACTGCTAAAAAGTATCCAAGCAGAATTTAGGAGCTCAATGTAAACACAAAGGAGATTCTTCTACTGCTTCGGATCCCTCCTGGTATTCTGTGAGCACTAGGCATTAGCGTTGGTTCACTTAGCACCAGACATGGTGAAAGAATCTTGCAGGACAACTAAAGGAAAGACTTTCATTTTTCATGTAAGTGAAGCATGAGGCTGACTGTTCACTGGCCATCTCTAGAATTAGCCTTTTCCTAAGCAATAAATGAATACATTCCATCATGCTCCCAAAAGGGAAAACCCAGGCCACAAATTAGGACATCATGATTCTTCTCTTGTTCCTGCAATAGGATATTTTCCAATTAGGATTCTACAAAGCATCATTTGATTAAGTCAGAGCCTCAGTGATGGAAGAGTCTATGACCCCTAAAATTGAAATGAGGAAGTGGCTATGGCTTAGGTAAATCCGAGCACTATCAAGATTCTAAAGAGGAATTCCTAAGCAATATCTATTCCAATGGCAATTACACACAAATGTGAGAGAACTTCTAACTCTAGTAACAGTGATCACGGACTGGAAGAAGAAAGTGTTCCTCTTCAGAAGCCAAATCAAGCCTTGTCTCCTGGCTACAGGACTCTACCACACGGGGGTTTCAATGGTTAACTGAAAGAAACTACAGACATTTTGGAGCATGTGATGTACTCATATGTCTTTCCTGAGATCATCCTGCATCCCTGATGATAGGAAACTGGCAGGCAGAGTAGGCAAGCAACAAAAAAGACAAATACATTCCAAAGACAGGTGCATTAGTACACATTGCTGAGAACATGCAGTGGGATCCTTCTGGGGTCGCTGAATTCACAGTCTGCCTCTACTCGCCGAGGTGTGTAAAGGTAAATAGCCACCCAACCAGGGGAAAAACTTCAGGTCTGACTGCATTTTCTAAGGAATAAAGTGAAGCACTGAAACTCACTATTGTATTTATACTGCTCGGCTTAATCTTGAGTCAGTTTTAGTAAAGCTATTCACTAGCAAATACTTAAATATAGCCATGACCAATTCAAAGATCTGTTCCTGCAGTACACCTATGCTCTGTTCTCCAACACATCCATGTACACACACACATGCACACATACACGCATGCATACCCTCAAGTGCATTCTGCTATAGTTTTGGGGTCACTAACTCTTCAGGAAAAGAGAACTGATTACCCAAAAGATAAATAAATATGCTTCTATATGAGAGCATCTTAATGTCTTGCATTTTATCACTAGTAGAATTTAAATATAATTTTCCTAATGTGTCTCAATGTATCTCTTTATTCGCAAATGTGCCTCTTCATTTCCAGGGAAAAACATGCAATCTGTTTTTTTTTAACAGCCTCTTGCTCTCTAGATAGGCAATGAAGTTTACCTGGAAAAAATGATTGTAAGGAAGATATGCCTTCATTCTATACATGTATCAAAAAAATCATAATCTTGGGCATGTTTTATTTGTAACTTGCCTAACTCTACTGGTCCTTCTATTTGCGACTTATCAGCAAAGCCAGGAAAGTTAAGTACTTATTCTGTTCCTTTTCACCTCTAGAAACAGGAAGAAACAAAAGCTCTTTTATACTAATGTTGGCATGGGAGCCAAGAGATCTGAATATTAAACTTGGATCTGTCGAACTAGCTGTGTAGCCTGGGAGTAATTCTCAGTCACAGGAGGAAGACTTTGACTCTACAGTCTTTAAAAGAGATCCTATTGAACTTGTAGTTGCTAAAATGGCCTATGTCCTCAAACTTGGGAGGAGTCTGGTCCCTCGAATGGCCACAGTAAAGCTCGCACATTTCTAGGACACAATTAAAGTGTCTCCCATCAGCACTCATTCCTTGCAACTTTCTAAAGCAGCTAACTGATCCCTGGGAGCCACTAAGGTCTCTGAGAGCTCATTGTGCATACCTCTCATTTGCACTCTGGGTAAGACGCCTGCCTGAGAAAGACAAGAATGCTTGCAGGACTTAAAAAAAAAACAAAAATCAAAAAAAAAACAAAAAAAACCAAAAAAACCCCACCTAACTCTTCCTGTCAGTTACAATGTGAAAGCAATTGTATGTCCTGAGACTCAGCATTTACTCAGGGTGAATTTCCTTAAGGCTCCTTGACTGCTATCCTCTTAACAATACTCAGGATAAGGTGGGCCTGCAATGCCTTTCATTTCTAGGGCCATAAGAAAGAGAAGTCCTACCAGAAAAAGACGAGAGACAGAGAGACAGAGAGACAGAGAGACAGAGAGACAGAGAGAGAGAGAGAGAGAGAGAGAGAGAGAGAGAGAGAGAGAGAACGAGAACGGAAAAAAATCTTGGTATGAGGGGGCTCAAATCTTTGTGTGAAGAGAAAAATAATTAAACTTTCTTTTAATTTTCAGATGGTTGTGAGTCATGTAGGTCCTGAGGAGGTTGGTGTACCACACAGGAGGGGCACACACAGACCCCCAGACACAGTCTTCAGTGAACAGCAGATAGATAGAAGGCTTCCTCCTTTCATGATCAATCTAACTGCCCTGAGTGGTCAGACTGAATTTATAACCAAATGGACAGCTTATAGGCTATTATCCACAGAACGCTACCGTGCAAATGCTTACACGGGTGCTTTTGTGGGCTTTGTTCTCCCTCACAGTAATGGGAAAATTTGGGTATGTGATAGTGAATGGTAAAGAAATGCATTTATCTTTAACACCTATTTTGTTTCAGGAGTCACATTTGTCTCTATGGACTACTGCATATATTTGTGGGAGCAGCACATATGGGAATTTGTGGTAATATGATTATACTTCTTCAGACCAATTGCTATTGACAACAGCAAAAATAATATTGAAATAAAACAAAGTTGTTTAGATCAGTTCCATGATGCATGTGAATTCCTAGGGAAAACTAAGTCTAATGGATTAGTTGCTATTTTGTGCAATAGCCTTACTACATTTATACACAGAATTTGCTACCAGGAAAAGAAAATTTTATAAACATATACAACAGAAATGTTTTCTGTCTTATATGAAAACAGGTCCTTTAAGAATCAGTGGTTCACCAGCATGCTCTGAGGATATGGTAAATGCAGTGAGATTTTAACATTCTGATGGGGCTCCTATATTAGGATACTGCATTAAATGAAACCCATGTCCAAAAAAGAAAAGTTATAATTTGTCTAACATGCATTACACAAAGATACTGGAGGAATGAGGTAGAACATAAGTAATATTAGCATTGCTAGCAATGGGCAAAAACAGAACAACTACAACATGCAAACATGCAAAGTTGAAGAAAGGAAAAAAAAGTACTGAAGCACCAGAGAGATAGATGCATTTGTTAAAAGAGAGTCTCTAAGCATACTAACCTGCTGGTTCTAATGAATTTTCTACTTTGTCGTTAACATCGAAAACACGATCATGAACACCTATAGTTTTCATACAGCTATCTATAACAAAAATAGAGATAACAGCCAAATATGTTAGTGAAGACACCCTTTAACTTCCACTTCTTTCTCTTTTTTTCTTTCTCTCTAGTTTTTCCTTTTATTTAGGTAGAGATTGTTTCACAATCAGTGGCATGTATCCAGATGCCAATATTGCTCCCACTTGCTGTGCATGTACAACAATCTAAGAAACAACAAGTTAGCAACTGCTGTGTACTTAAATAAAAGCATCATGAAGAATGATGAGAAAAAATATGATGAAAACTAAAACATGGATGTTGATATACAAAACAGATACCACACAAGATTTAACAGTAAAAAACAAAAAAGTTTTACCGCTCCGAACCAGACCACACGATAAAGCATGCGCAGTGAAGAAACCCTCTGAAGCTCATTCTAGGGAACTTACTTGTTGGTCTCACAAAGACTTTGAGCTTTAGGCAGGACCTTCTTCCATTATCTGGAATTGCAGAGGCTGTGGATAAGACACAGAGGACAAGGGAGAAAGGAGAGAACAACAACCAATTACTCTTAGTTTTCACATGTAAATTGTCTGCAAAGCACTCTTTCTTGGACAATAGGTACCTAACCTAATTCCCAGCAAGATAAAATAAATAATACCAGTGGATTGATCTAAGGACTCAGGATAGGACTCTTTTCATCTTCTATCTTCTTTTACTACAGCAAAGAAGCCAAAGCAGGAATGTGGATAAGCTGTGAAAAAATACTTTGGACTTTTATTTCAAAGGTGTTTTCATTTAACTTGATCTGTTATCAATTTTCTGTAAATCAGTAGGATAATGCTTGAGCCTTCTTGCTTTATGAGCTGCTTCTCCTCCATCGCAGGGAAAGGGGTCCACCAAAGGCCATTGGTGAAAGTGCCAGCAAAAACCAGTGACACAGAGTTGCAAGGCCGACTTAAACGTGACCTATTTCTACTGGGGAAAGCAGAGCTTTGTCTGTCCTGAAAGCTCATCTGTCAGTGCTCCTCAGGTAATTCAATTAGAGGTTTTACTCAGAACTTGGCTCCACTTTCCATCTGACTAAACCAAGCCCGGCAACTACCATCATGCTGTTATAAGTACAATATGCTATTGAGAAAGTACTATGTTGCAATGGCACACTTATTTATTTTTCTCAAATTTGCCACAGAGAAGGATGGAATTAATAAAGTGTGCTTACCAAAACATGACAACGTGTTTTAAGTTTTAAATCATTTGAGGAAGAAACTTTCTTCTCCTCTTCAAAATAATAAGATTGCGAACTTTCCTTACATTTGAAAGATTATCTCCCCTCAGTCCTCACAGCATAATGTCAAAGGGATTCCCAAGGGTGGTAAGAACCTTAACAACCACATGTGTTTACTAATGCATTCTAGAAATGACAAAAATTACAGAAACAAGGACCGCATACTTTCCTCCCTATGGACTTGCTTCAAGTGGTTTCTTTGTTCTGAAAAAGCAGATGACATCAATCAAGGCACACATGGCTTAAAATTAGTATGGTAATACCCAAAGTGACAAACAGAAAGCCAGCATTTGGTGTGCCTTCTCCCTTTATTTTTATAATATTCTCCATGAGGAACCCAGAAAACAAAAATGCTTACTTTGCAGGTGACAGAATTCAAGATGCAAACTCTAAATTCATTGTACACAAGTCTTCTTATGTAACTACAAATCTGTGTAACTATCCTGCAGGAGAGCTTATAAATTCACCACCTACAAGAAGTCAAGCACTAAAGGACCCCTAGTGTCATTATCCAACACCTGTTGAAACTCTTAATTTTAAGGCAAAAGTAAGAGAAAAGATGTTTTTGGGCTTCTCTATCTCCCTGGGTCCCTCTGACAAGCAGTTAAGAAGTGCTAACAGCTGGCTTTGCAATAGGCTTTCATTAAATCAAAGTCGGAAAAACTCCCTCTCCTGACATTAACAGTAACTAGTGTGTTATTTAGGGCACAATATTTGCACTCTGTGGTTTGATCCAGGAAATGGTGTCCTTCCTGTGGCCCCCAACTGCAAATGTGCCTGTCACAAATACAGCACACATAGGTGACTCCAATGCATCAAAAACTATGTCCTTGAGAAAGTATATGTCGTGTTCATATAAAATGGTACAGAAAAGTGACACACAGATATTTGCAGAGTTATTCTATAGATTTCTGAGCTGAGATAAACTCACTTTAAGCCCTGTGAACTTGATCTGCCACATGCAAATAACTTATTTTACACATGCTACTGCAAAGAAAAAGCCTCAAAGCAGATCAAATGTTTAATTGTTTTAGTGAGAACCTTCCTGTATTTAAAATAGCTCTTTCTGATTTTTATTGAAGAGAAATAAATCCAGGGCATAAAAATTATTGTACAGTCTGGTGGAATACAAAAACAGCAGCAAGTGATAACCCATGCAGAAAAAAATCTAGAGTTCTTCTATTCCCAACTCACAAGGAAGGACTAGAGCTTTAGCTACTAGATTAGCTGTGTTCTTGTGTGAATTAAAAATACCAAATGTGCTTATATAAAATCAAAAACTCTCTTCCCCTATTACTGTCTCATCTCCTCTTACAGGAAAGCTTATGAATAATGACATGATTGATGCCATCTGATATGATTTTTTCTTACCACCTAGTCCTCATGGGCAGAAAATGTTACCAAACAAGGCTACCTGTGAATGCAGGTACTGACCAAATTTCACAGGCTGGCTCCATAGCTTTCAGTCTGAGCTCACAGAGTGAACTCCTAACCCGAAGGGCCAACCTCAGAGGTATGCTTTGCTAGGTTGGTTTAACTTCTTTCTTATTTGCCATTATTGAAACACAAAAGTAAAACCAGAAAAGGGAAAAAATTTCAATAAACCAGCAAAACTCTATTTCTTATAAATAGTTTTAAAACAGAGAGTATGACTTTATTCCATATTAAATTCAAGGTTTCTTTACCCTACAATCCCTGGCTTTAGGATGTAGTTGTAGGATGCCTTTATGCCACTTAAAAAACAGGTGGCCAATGAGCTGGGGATTTAGTTCAGCAGTGTAAGTGCCTGCCTGGCAAGCACAAGGTTGTGAATTCAATCCCAGGTACAAACAATGAAAAAAAAAAAAAAAAAAACACAACAAAACAACAGAGGCGTGAGCATTGAAAAAATACAAATTAATGAGCTGCGTGTGGTGGCACATGCCTATAATCTCAGCACTTCAGAGGCTGAAGTAAGAGGGTCTCCACAACTTCAAAGTCAATTTGGAGTACATAAGGAATTGAAGGCCAGCTTGAACTACGTAGTGACACCCTGTCTCAAAAAAAAAAAAAAAAAACGAGCAGCAAACTCCCACAAAGAAAGAAAGAGAATGAAACATGTAATAGTTCTACAAACATAGAAAGAAAATTCTCTTTCAAGCCTCTAACCAAATGATGGAACAAAGGATAGAAGTGAAGGAGTACAAACTTAAAATATGCCTGACTTCTGTTAGAAGGAATGATTCTCGAGAAATGTCACTTTAGATGACCACCATATTTTTATTAGTATATGTATTCTAAGCATCTTACATTGCTCTTAGAAAATTAACAACTAACATTGAAAACTGAGAGTGAATAATATCAAAATATGTTCTATGTTACTGCACCTTCATGCATCACATATTAAAATTCCTACTATGCACCAGCTTTGTTATTGTATGCACATGCTGTGGACGCTAAGATACACTGATCCTGCTGTGTTTTGTGCTTTTTACAGCCAGGACTCACATACACAAACCACAGGGGAGGACAGCTGCAGCCTCCACATGATAAGTGACGTTTGCATGATGAGCTGGTGCAGTGCTGTGCAGAGAGCACTGGTGCTGGGTGGGCCATGAAGGTGGCACAGCCCCGCCCACCAGAGGACCTAACAGGGGCTTCGCTGGTTCCCCAGAAGCCAAACAACAGCAACCAGAACAAAAGTACTAACTCGTTTCAATCAAAAAGAGGTGCTAATTTGCAAAGAAAACCTAGACCTGAATTCTTCCTATTAAGATACATGGATTTTCTAATAGAATTTTAAAAATCAAAATGAGAAAACTCCACATCAGCTGCCACATAATCTAAATTCATATCCCTTTTACTCACTTTACTGATAAAAATGTACGTTTGGACTCAGGAAATTGGAAGTACAGACTTGGGGACCATTAAAACAAGCAAAACCTCCCATTCCATTATCTTAATAGCAACTTTATACATCGATGCATAGAGCTCCCTTCCCCCTAATAAGCTGTAGAGTACCAATTAAAACCTTGCGACATACAGTGAAATACAAGATGTGAGAGACTTGGGCTTTAGGGTACCATGCTAACAAGGCCGCAAGGGCCCCTTGTCCTCATTCTCTTCCATGACCTGAGAGTGGGACCCTGACTTAGGCCATCTCTGAAGATTGGTTCCTTTGGTCTTGTAAGGTTCAGGAGTTGAGTTAAATACTTAGCCAATGTGATAATAAGGGGGACTATATTCAATGCCCCCAAACTAGTATTTATAAAAGTTATTCTTAGCTCTGCAGATAGATAGACAGACAGACAGACAGACAGATAGATAGATAGATAGATATCCACACCACAGATCACTATGTGTCTTATCATTTAGACATAGCAAAACAACACTAGCATCATACTTGTTATAAGCAATTTCTGACCTGGTTTTCAATGACCCCTGTCTCCTGTGTGCAGGGCTTTCTGTAATCCTCTCCCCTAGAGAGTAGACTGAGCTTAGTAACCTGCTTTTAATGAGCAGAATACAGCAAAAGATATGATGTGTCACCTCTGATTATGTTACAAAAGCCTACGACCTCCTTCTTGCTAATAAGCTCCTTTTTATTGTGTGACACTCAATATAGAGGCCCATGTAGCAAGGAACCAAAGGAAACCCCCAGTCAGAGGCATCAAGGCACTGATGCCTCGGAAACCAACGGCTCACAGGGAACTAAATCTGCTGAACAGTCATGTAAGCGAGAAAGTGAATTGTTCTTGGTCAACCCTTGCCAAAGGGCCCTGCTAAGCTTAACCTAGATCCCTGTCCCACACAAATTCTGAAATAATGATGTGTTGGTTACAAATTTGGTCTGTGTTTTGGGGGGTAACTTGCAAGAGTTGATGGATGCAATGCAGTGTACAAACACATCTCTAAATCACAGGCTTTCCAAGGCCGACTTTATGTGGGAGGATTAATATCCGGCAGCTTTCTCTGTCACAAGCAGCTACGCTGTGCTTCCTTTTCTAGTTTATATTTCAAGCTACCATTAGAAGTCCATTGAAATACGCCTTGAAGAGAGGTAATTATAAACTGATGTTGAAGACATACTACAATTCACATCTATTTGTTCTCACTCCAGCATTCAAGAAACTGTTTTTCATTTTCCTTCTCATGCAACTTAGTTTGTTTTTGCAAATCTAGTCAACCTGTGCTGTTCCTTATAATTAGCATGATGTCTTACTTTAGCTCTAAATTGCTGGGCTAACC